CGGAGTGGCAGAGGTAATGCTGTTGGGCAGAGCTGCCACTCTGTTGGGGCAGGCAGATGGCAGGGTGAATTCCCCACAGGGAGGCTTAGGAAGGGTTTCCCGATCTGGTTTGCTTGGGACAAAGGAGAGATTGAGGTATAGCCTTGGAGGGAAAGGAGGTATGGATATGTGGGTATGAGCCAGCAGTGTTCCCTTGTGGCCAAGGCAGCCAGTGGTATCCTGAGGTGCATTGAGAAGAGCACTGCCAGCAGGTCGAGGGAGGTGCTCCTGTGCTCAGCCCTAGTGAGGTGCATCTGGAGTGCTGTGTTAAGTTCTGGGCTGCTCAGTACAGGAGGGACATGGAACTCCTGGAGCAGGTCCAGTGGAGGGTAACAAAGATGATTAAGGGACTGGAGAATCTCTCAAGAGAAGAGGCTGAGGGAGCTGGGCTGTTCAGCCTTGAGAAGAGATGACTGAGAGGGACCTCAGTGTCTCTAAGGAACTGAAGAGAGGGTGTCAAAAGGATGGAGCCAGGCTCTTCTCAGTGGTGCCAAGCAATAGGGCAAGAGGCAATGGGCAGAAACTGATGCACAGTAAGTTCCATCTGAACATGAAGAAGAACTTCTTTACTGTGCAAGTGACAGAGCACTAACAGATTGCCCAGAGAGGTTGTGGATTCTCCCTCACTGGAGATACTCCAGAATTGTCTGGATGCAGTCTTATGCCATGTGCTCTAGGATGACCCTGCTTGAGCAGGGAGGTTGGACCAGGTGACCCACTGTGGTCCCTTCCAGCCTGACCAATTCTCTAATTCTGTGTCTGACACCAGGGCTCAAAGGGCAACTGCAGCAAATGACCTTTGCCACTGTCATTTTGCATCACTGGAGAACGTGGCCCTTCAGCCAAGGGGCGAGCTGGGAATGCTCTCCCATGGGATGCAGTAGAAGAGGTCATTGCCACAGGAATTAAGACTAACTGGGTCTGGAGATGGGGTTGAGCATAGAGGGTGTGGGATGAACCTTGTCCCCTAGTTTGCAGAGGGAAGCTGGGGCTACTGGCTTGAGGTTTTGTTGCCTTTCCACACAGCTCAGTGCAGGAGAACCTGCAAGGGACCTTCCAGCAGGAGGTGGGCAAGCTGGAGCAGGAGGTGGCAGCGCTAAGGAGGGAGCTGGCTAGCCTCAAGTCAGACCAGGAGGTGATGGGAAAGCACATGGAAGGGATGCTGGAGCAGCTGAAGGCAGTGCGGGCTGACGTGAGTCCCCAGTCCCCACCCTGTGTGGCAGAGAGAAGAGCAAGGGTTGCTGCCCCAGGGCTGAGCTCTGGCCCCACTCTTTCAGGTGGAAGCACAATTCCCAGTGTGGATCAGTCGGTTCCTGTCACAGTCCCAGCAGGATGGCACTGCTGGCCTCATCCTCCAGCGGGAAGACTTGCAAGCAGAGCTCCAGGCTCTGGAGCGCAAGATCCTGGCCAAAGTCTCGGAGGACCGAAGACTGTCGGCACGGGATGCTCAGGCTGGCATTGGAGTGGCCCTGCGGCAAGGGGGGACTGCAGGGGTGACAGAGGAGGTGAGTGCTGCCCTGAGCCCCAGGGACGTGATGGTGACCATGGGTGTGGGACTGGGGTCTGTGCCCCATCGCATGTGGCAGATGTGCCTGGCAGATGGCAGGGCTATGGGGACAGCCCCTACTGCTGAGACATTGATCCTGGGCACAGAGCCCACCTGGCAAGAGCATCCCTGAAACTTCCCTGTGTCTAGCCTTCTCAGGCTCTGCCTGAGCTCTACCCTGGAAGGGGCCGCAGGTGGTGATATCCACACGCCTGCAAGGCTCTTGCTCTGTTAAGATCCGGGTTTCTGCTCATGCATCTTTCAGGCAGTAGGTGGGACACGTGCCAGCAAAGTTTCCATGGGTGGAGCATCTTGCTTATCCTCATTCTTCATCAGTGCCACTGAGTTGTTTGGGGCAAACCATTTCAGCAGAGTGACGCCAAGGGGAAAAAATGAGCCTGTTTGCTTTGGAAAGAGTTGTTGGCAATTCCCTGTGGAGGTAGTGGAGGGAGGGATCAAGCTGGGATTAGCAGCCCCTCAGTCTGTGCAAGCTTTATGCACTCCATAAAATTTAGACCCACAGTGATGCTGCAGGGTCCCAGTTCTCTGGGTTTGGTTTGGCTCCAGGAGGATGCTCCTGCCAGCTCCCATTTCTGGATTGAGGATGGGAGGGGGGAAGCTCCCATCAATCCTGTGGGACAGGGCAGGAGGGACCAGCAGATGATGCTGGAGAGGACTGGTGAGGTTGTGTCTGGTACCCACTGGAGAATACCTCTCCTCCCCTGGGGCCACCCCCTGTATTGGGGATGGATGAGCCCAGCATGCCTTGGCCCTGCCTCTTCATTGCACGGTTCCTCTCCTCTGGGTATTTTTAGCAACCTCTAAGGAGGCTTCCCAGCCAAACATGTGTCCTCTCATTTTTACCACGGTGATTCATTCCCTGCTGTTCTATCCCCTGGCTGCTTTGTGGGCAGGTCCTTGCGCTCTGTCCCTGCAGGGTGGAGGTGGGTGAGGGGCAGGATGCCTACCCTGGTTCTTTACCCCTCTTCTGCCTTCTGCTCCTGGTGCAGCAAGTGCATCTCATCGTGGACCAGGCCCTGAAGCGCTACAGCGAGGACCGTGTGGGGATGGTTGACTATGCCTTGGAGTCAGCAGGTAGGTGGTGGGGAATGAGCCAGCTGTCCTGGGGAGGGGGCCACAGGGTGCTGGCATACAGCTTACTTACTGCCGTCCTCTCTCCATGCCAGGGGCCAGTGTCATCAACACCCGCTGCTCGGAGACGTATGAGACACGGACAGCACTGCTGAGCTTGTTTGGCATCCCTCTGTGGTACCACTCACAGTCCCCACGTGTCATCCTGCAGGTGGGCACCTTTGGGGCATGACCCTGCTGAGGGGGAGGACCATTGGGGCTGGTTCTTATGTGGGCTGGAGGGTTTTATTTGGCACTCACTGTTCCTCCAAGCAAGCAGCCAGGCTGATGTTGGGGAGAAAAATGACGCTGATCGTGGTAACATTGCTTATGTCTTGCTTCCATGCTCATAGCCAGATGTCAACCCTGGGAACTGCTGGGCATTTCGTGGCTCCCAGGGCTTTGCTGTCATCCGCCTCTCCAGCATCATCCGCCCCACGGCCGTGACACTGGAGCACATCCCAAAAGCTCTCTCACCCCAGGGGACCATCCCCAGTGCTCCCAAGGACTTCGCTGTCTATGTGAGTGCCTTCTCCTGGACCTGAGGGAGGAGCTGGGAGATATGGTGGGAGGGCAGAGGAGGCTAGCAAACCCCATACCTGACTGTGGGGTGCTCTGGGAGGGGTTGGTCTTACCCTGAAGAGGAGGAGGAGAAAGAAGTACTGGTGGGGAGAGGGGCAGCACTGGGCTTTAGAAAGAGTCTGGGGACACAGAGAGAGAGAGAGAGAGAGAGAGAGAGAGAGAGAGAGAGAGAGAGGGAATTGAGTAGGTGTAACTTTTCATCTTCTCCCTCCATCCCTCCCCGCTGGTCCCTGTCCCCATTTGTCTGTTTTGTCCTGGGAGAGCAGGAGCAAGGGCCAAGCACACTGGTGCCCTCTCTCTCTTCTGCCCTCGGTGCACTTATCACCTCTGCTCTCCCGCTCTGATGACCCCTGGTTCTCCCTTTCTGCCTCCCTGCCCCTCCGTAGGGCTTAAAGGAAGAGAAAGAAGAGGAGGGCCTTATCCTTGGGCAGTTCACCTACAACCACGACGGTGACGCCATCCAAACGTTTAACTTGGAGGTAAGTGCTTTCCCCTTGGAACACCTCACCCCAAGAAGAAAATGAGGCCTCTGGGGTTTCTGAATGTCAGAGAGCTCTCAAAGGCTCAGGGTTTTCCTCCTTCTCCCAAGGGTGACTCCATGGGCACATACCAGCTGGTGGAGCTCCGAGTGCTGAGCAACTGGGGCCACCCTGAATACACCTGCATCTATCGCTTCCGCGTGCACGGGGAGCCAGCGCACTGACCCCGGCTCCGCGCGGGATGAAGACACTGCCAGGCAGACAGCAGGAGGGGGCTCGTCTGGCTCACTGCTTCGCACATAGAATCCTGGGATGCGCCTGCAGCTGCTCCAGGAAGCTGCTCCCCTGGAGGGGGAAGAGCTGGTATTTAAGGAGTGAGGCTTTCACTCTTCCAAGGACCAGGGTGGTGAGGCAAGGGCAGCCCACATGGGCCCTGGTGCAGCCTGGCTTGTTTTCAGTGCATATTGGACATTTTAACTTTCTGAGCTAACTTTTTATCGGGTCTGCACTGCCCCTCGTCCTTGTTGCCCCACTTCTTTCTGATGGTGTGTCTAGCATTGCCAGGGCTGGGGAGAGGGGGATGTAACTTCGCGATGCGCTCGGTGTGATAGGGTGTATGGGACTGTCGTGCCTGGCTCGGTGCTGCTGGAGTAGGTGGGAGCCACTGGTCATGACCAAGTCCCTTCCACACAGGGTCACTTCTCTTGCCTTGGCGCTGGGCTGGGTAAAGATCTCTGGCCCTCCGATGCTGGGCCAGCAGAGAGGAAATGAGACAGTATTAATGAAGTATTAACATAAAACTAACGGTTTGGGGCAGCAGGAGGAGGGAAATTTGGCACGTGTGGGTGGCAGAGCCTGCCCTGGTGCTGCCATCCGTCTGCTCAAGCTCCTGCTGCCAGCGGCCGCGCTGGGTCTCGGCGATGCCCCTGGCTGGCTGCCTCCCCAGGGGTAAGCTTAACGATGCTATTGACCATTCCTGC